ATAACTGGAACTTGTTGGTGGTAGAGGAGTGGGAAAATGGGAATGTAGAACCCTGAGCTCACAAAATTGGGCAGTTGCACAAAAAATACTCTTATCATTCATTTTAACTTGCTCCTCACTAGGACTTTCGTGGAGTTCAAGAATAAAATTCAATAAGTAATTAATAGAGTAGATGTAATAAAAAGGTAGGAAAAGTAAGAATGTGGATAGATGAAAAAGTAGGGACAATTATGTCTTCCAATTTTTTTGTAATTGCTAAAAGGGAAAGCAGAGATAGTGGGAAAAGCTTCTATGAAAGGAGAGTGGATCAAGTAAAAATAAACCGAGGTAGTCCAAATATACAACTGTACAGGTGCAATACTAAAAAGCATTTATTTGAGGGTAGTTTAACACTTCCTTAAAAAATACAATCAGGTCTAATGATGTCCTAAAGTAGGGTGTTTGTGCTATTCTACTAATCACAAGGGAGAAACTGTATGTTACTGATAGTTTAGGCCTTTAGGGGTCTAGCTGATATTACACTAGACCTCAAGGGAGGTCTAATTTGTTACCCTGTCCTAGATGATAATTTTTTAGAACTTCCTGCCTTATGGAACTCAGTAATTGTTAGCTTCAATTGGCAGAAAGGTAGGCTAGTATTTCCCTTAGTTAAATCATAATGGCTACAATTAGACCACATTAAGGAAGCTAAGACAAATTCTACTGATCCGTCATCGTGAGGGAAACTATGGATCTAAGTAGCATAGATTGAGATTGATGCGGCGTTAAAAACACCCCAACATTCTTTGTTCACGATGAAGGGAAGGGATTGAGAAGTATTTACAAATCAAGACAATACCTGAACTTTACGAAGAAAATTGCCTGTGCGGTGCAACTTTTCTATGTGTTCTCTCTTTTCATATAAAGAAGTATTAACCCCATCACTTCTAGATTGCACAGACATTATCTGCAACATTTTGAAGATTAAAAAAAATGATCTTTTCTGAAATCCTACTTCATTATACACACACACATTCATATATACACAAGCATTCACACAAAATATGACTTAAAAAAATCATATGTATTCTATAGATGTGTGCGCTTGTGTCTTTTTATCTTGCCATGATTGAGATTGTCAATCTATACTAACTGAAGAAATAGCTATGAAGGACCTTTTCAAGAAGCTGTTCCATATTTGTTTCCATGCCTACAATGTTATTATTCATCCTGAAACCAAAACAGAGAGAGAGTACAAAAAATCAAACAAACAGTAAGTTAATTAACAACAGTGAGTTAGATGCAACCATACTCCAAAAACGATTATTCATTCATACGCGTTCAAAACTCTCATACTAAAGACATGGTTGTTTCATAATTTGCATTTTCAAATGTATTTATGCTCCAAATTTTGATATTTATATAAAATATCAAATTTCAATCCAAACTTAGACAAAGCTTTTACCTTTTAATTGTATCTGTTGCACTTATGAACTTGTTGTAATTCTCGTATACTAACATTTGCAAGTCAGTGTCTAAGTTTTTTATCTCAGCGGCCATTTCAACATGCCTCTGCAGCAATCCCTCCAGATTAGACTTTTGAACCTAAAATAAACGTGCAAAGTCAAGGATTTCAATTGCGATTAACATAAGAGGGGGGGGGGGGGGGGGGGGGGGGGGGGGGTGTTTATGCCAGCCTGAAGCTAGAAATGAAGCCCTACCAGCAGATTCATGTATTGATCAGCGTCAAAGGAGGCGGTGTTAATGGTATCCAGTGTGGCAAATCTGGAAGAAGCATTCGGAGGAGCAGAAGTAGAAGATGGGTCGAGCGAGTAGAAACTCGATAGCAAATCTCTCATTCTCTTTGCCTTGCTGTCCAGCAGCTGATCATCTACCCCCATTTTTGTTCCTTCCTGATAATGTATCTATGGAATTCTTTGAGGTCGAGAGGGGTAAAGCAATGAGTATACGCTTAGGAACCGCAAAGGTAGAGACTAGAGAGCCCTTTTCCTTTGATTCGACTGACGCTTCAGAGGACAAAGTCAGAGAGATAACGGATCAATGAGCAATGTCAACAGATCAGCTGATGTTCTAACTTCAAGATGCCTCATAATCTTCATTGATTTCAGTAGACTTTCGACCGCTGCCTCAAGCACTTCTGAATTTCTGGTGTGGGAAATTCTGCATTTTTTTTTATAAACTAACCCCTTCGACAAATCAAGGCCGGGCGTAGACCCGGATCACACCCGAACTTGTGGTTTTTAATGGACATGGCCGTACGAGTCTATATTTTATTCCGTTTACCAGAATTCAGATCCGGATTCGTTAGTATTTTTAAAAAATGGGTCGAATATGGTACATATATTCTGACCTGTTAAGGACTCGGGTAAGTTTAGAATTTCTTATAAATATATATGTACACACATACTACTCCGTAATACATAAAGTGATTAGTATAATACTTCAAATAAAAAACTAATACTATGTATATATACACACACACATATACATACAAATAAATAAAGTTATTACTTTTAATTCTTCAATTAAAAAATACACAATAATACATATCTAACCGTATAAGTGATACTGATCGAGATAGTTACATACCCTAAAACTAATACTACCTTCGTTCCCATTTTAATTTCCAAATGAGTTTGGCACAAAGTTTAAGATAGTGGATATTGTGTGGTGGAGAGTTGTGCAGATGAGAGAGAAATGTGTAAGAAATGTTGTGAACCACAAATTCTTTACCAAAAAGGGAAAGTGAAAGTTTTAATTGGAACGAACGAAAAAGGAAAATTGGAAGTTTATTTAGGAACGGAGGGAGTACTTTTTTGACCGTTTATAAATACTAATAAAGTGTGTATTGGGTTCGGTAGGCAAAATCCAATATTTATTATTATTAATATTATTATATCACTATCATATGTAATATGCTTTTATATTCTCAATACTCCAAGAGATTTTTTGTGACTTCAATTCTAGTCTCTTTTACGAGCTTTCTTTGCGAGAGAAAGAGACATAGAGTGTGGAGATATACACCTCTACAAGAACCGATACTTTATTGAATGAAAGTATTGATTTTCTATGAGAAACTTTGTTTTTTAGAGGAAACATTGACTTCTTTGAAAAGTGAAGATATGTTTTTTTTTTAAGTTTGCGCACTTTGTACATTTCATATGCATGTCTTATTATTTTCACAAAGTTCATAATGTTGTGCATATCATAATTGGCGGGTCAACCCGACCCGGTTCTGATGCCCGTTGAGTCTGGGTCCAAACTTTTAGACCCATCGGGTATACGAGCCGACTCAGGGTCCTCTCTTAAATTAGTGGGTCCAGGTCTGGAACACTAGTTATGACCCGGACCCGACCCATTGACAGGCCCAGTCGGGCGTTGGTGAAAGTGTGAAACAAAACTGCTTACTTACCTGATGCTCGTATATATACACCCAATGCACGTTCACACGTCATACACATTTGATTATGTCCGCCAAACGAGCTTTTATGGTGTTCTGGTTTTCTTTTTATTTATTTTTTGGAATATAAAAGAGTCACTTTTATAATAATATCGAGAAAACAAATAAGACGACATTCAGATAGTTATTATAGAACCAATTGTAAATCCTCAGAATAGACATAAAGTCAACCACCTCATATAAAGCAATCTGACTCGCTAAACGAAAAATGAATAACTTTAAGCCTAAAACGACCAGAACCAAAATAGTTTCTATAAAAAGTATACCAAATTTTCAAATTGGCGGGTCAACCCGACCGGTTTCTGATGCCCGTTGGGTCTAGGTCCAAACTTTCAGACCCATCAGGTATACGAGTCAAGTTAGAGTCCTCTCTTAAATTAGCGGGTCCAGGTCTGGAACACTATGTTATGACCCGGACCCGACCCATTCACAGGCCTAGTCGGGCGTTGGTGAAAGTGTGAAACAAAACTGCTTACTTACCTGATGCTCGTATATATACACCCAATGCACGTTCACATGTCATACACATTTGATTATGTCCGCCAATCGAGCTCTTATGGTGTTCTGATTTTCTTTTTATTTATTTTTTGGAATATAAAAGAGTCACTTTTATAATAATATCGAGAAAACAAATAAGACAACATTGAGATAGTTATTATAGAACCAATTGTAAATCCTCAAAATAGACATAAAGTCAACCACCTCATACAAAGCAATCTTACCCGTTAAACAAAAAATGAATAACTTTAAGCCTAAAATGACCAGAACCAAAATAGTTTCTATCAAAAGTATACCAAATTTTCAAATATCTAAGCCAAACTTACTCAAACAAAAACAAGTACTACCAAAGAAAAAATAACACTGAAACAAAGCATTTCCACCAAACGCTTCCTTGTATAGAGGAGGATGAGCTTCTGCAAAATGGGTGATACTACATTTTTCTTCCTACTTCATTCTAGATAGATGTAGAAAGAACCGTTGGCTCGACAAAGCTTTGAGGTGGCCGAACGGCAAATCCGTCCGGATAGGGATACTATATATATATATAGGATTCAAATTAAATGAATTAGATGTTTAAGCTTTTTCAAATTAAAATTATATCAAAATTTGACTTATTCAAAATATTTTCATAAAAATATAAAATCTATAAATTATATGCAAACGTATTACTGTAATTAAAATCATTGTCTAAAATTTGTTACCATCAAGACATCAATTAAGAAAAGTCAATATAAAAAAACATCTCAAGATGAAGCCATGCAGGTAGTACTTTTATAAAAGTACTTTTAAAAAAGTCATTTTATTACTTTTATATCTTTTTATATTATATAAGTGTTCTTTTTATAAAAGTACTATCAAAGTTCAACATAATTGACCAAAAAATTAAAAAATAGCAATGTTTTAAGAGACAGGTGACTAACTAAATAACGAAGTAACCAAGTCCAAAATTTAAGTTGTTGTAACGCCGCGTTTGGTGGAGTTAGCTAGCCCATAATCGTACATTTGTACCTTAACTTTCTATGAAGAATCGTATTGCCTACAGGAGTGAATCTTAAGAAACATGAAACAAACACACTATAAAACTTCAAAAGTAGTATGCCGAAATTTGAACAAGATTCCAAGGACAGGCACTCTGTTTGGCACTCAAGAAGATGAGAATCCTCAGATCATTGCCTGTAAGGACAACTACCCAATTCGTTTGACATGGAAAGAATAACAACATATAGACATTGAAGAGTGGTTAGTCACACTATAAAAATTAAAATGACAGCAATATATGATTGAATAAATGCAAAATTTATATAGCAGATGCCTAGAGCACCACTTCTGAAAGATCACATAAAACATGTTACCATTTATAGTTTCTTTGCTGCTTGAAATGAAAAAAAAAAACTATATAGGACACTCTAATTACTTCGTATTGCTCATCATCCCCTCTCTGTACTTGAAACATCACGTTGACAGTTCATATTTGAGCTACTAGTTGTGCTTGGCATAGGCAGTGCCTTTACGTGTGACTGTTCAGGTAATGAAGCATGTACTTTTGCCTTTAGCTGCTCAAGAATCCGATAAGCTTCTTTAAGTTCGTCATCTGCATTTGGACCGTGGCATTCCCAAGCGTCTATAACTTTCTTTTGGAAGTTAATTGCAAGTTGATAGCTGCAAAAGAGGATGCATCTCTAAAGTTGTTAAAACCTAGAATAGTGTGTTTTCCACCCAATATGTAAATCGAGATAAGACATAGTATTATAGACTGAAATTCGACCAGCCCAAATTTAACCCTTGTCACTGAGAACCTAAGAGCACTCCATGAAAGCTGCTAATTTTCTTTTTCCTGTTTCATTATTGAAACTTTTTCTTAAAGATACAAGGACAACAACTATTTTTTGGGCAAATGCGCAAAAATAACCCTGAACCTTTAGCCCAGAATACCGCATCAACCTTGAACTCTTAAATGTCCACTTTAGCCTTTAAATGCATTATTAGCTCAATAATAACCCGAACTTCGCAGAAAGTCCTGTTTGACTTTGAGCATGTCATGTGGATGTTTTATACACCGAATTAATTGGGTCCATGGAGAGAGCTGTAAGTGATGATAAGATCAATTGCAATAACAAAAAAAACATTATAAAAGTCTATAAAATGTAGCCCAAATTTGATTAAAGGTTTGAATATTGATTTTTTAATGTGTTTTTCTTGGCCTTTATTTGGATAAAGGCATTAGTGCTTAAAGTTCAGGCTCATTTACTGGATAATGGTCACTAAAATCTAAAGGCTTTGGAGAATAAGCCTGAAAATTTTCTCATTTCATTTCATTTTCATTTACCCCAGTGCCGCAAAGGCTCCCACCTACGGTGGGGTAAGGGGGGGTCGGATGTACGCAGTGTTACCCCTGTACTAAAAGCACAGAGAGACTGTTTCCGGATGACCCATAGTGAAAATCCCGTCCAAAATTGCATGGACTGACTGTTGTTTCATAACAAAGAAGCGCAGACAGTTTAGTGAGCCATTTTGCTTTATTCCATCATAATCTCAAGCCAAAAAATAATGAATCTTTGACTCCATTGCAAATGATGGAAAAAGCCTGAAAATTTTCTGCATATGTAAAATTAAAAACACAGATGCGTAAGATATTGCATAGTGAATGAACCAAGAGACAACATATTTCTTACCTTCCCATAGCAGAATAAGCTTTTGAGAGGTTTTGGCACGCCTCTATTGAATCAGCATGGTGAGGGCCAAGAGAGACATCCATTATATCCTTGGCATAAGCAAAAACCTGTGCAGCCGACTGTGGTCTACCTAATTCCAAATAAGCAGCGCCTAAATTATTATAAACATAACCAATACTATAATGTTTCGGACCGAAGCTCTCTTTAAGCCTTTCAGCAGCATCCTCCAAGTAAGGAATCCCCTCTTCCACTTTCCCAATTAACAGAAGTAACCAACCAATCCTTGCAGAAACACTCCCAACTGAATGTTGTTCTTGAGGAATCTTATCGAGCATTTTAAGTGCTTTTTTCAACAAGGATATGGCAGTTTCAAACTCATTCATAGTCTCATATTGCATAGAGATTTCCATATAAGCTTCAGAAACCTCAACAGGAAAGCTCTTTTCTTTCTTTCCAAGAATCCCACATGCAATATCGAGACACTTCTTTGATTCTTGGAACTTCTCCTGACTAGACAATGCTTTTGCCATGGACACAAAGACCATTGCTCTATCTTTGCTTTCTTTGTCAGTTCGTTGAACGACACTCTTAAGGGTGTTAATGGCCTCATCATATCTTCCCAAAGCAATCTGAATATTGGCAGCATCAACCTCTGCTTGGAGTAGCTCTGGAGCAAGACCCCAATTCTTTAAGACTCTTTGTGAAAGATGATTCTGTTCTAAAGCCTTCTCATGCTCCTCTAAACCAGTGTATATAATCCCCAGGACTCTTCTGTCATTAGCAACCTCCACAGAGTTATTCCCCAGTAAGGCCTTGTGCATTTCCAAGGCCTTCAAACAAAATGGCAATGCCTCACGGAAATTTAAAACAGAAACATAAGCCTCTGCCACATCCCTGTTAGCTATCCCAAGTTCTTTACTGCCTTCTTCTAAAGTCATCTCTTTTAGCTCCAAAGACTTCCTGAGGTTAATAAGAGCTTCCTCCCTCCTTCCCATGGCTGTCTTTGTGTTATACAGTTCAAGCTCGATGGCATGGAGGATAGGACTAAAATCTTCAAAAGTACAAGATCCATTTTTCTCTAATTGGCCCAATACCCTTTTGGCCCTGTTGAGGTACCCTAAGCTATCATTAAACCTTTTAAGACCATAACAAGCAGAACCCATCAGTTGCAGAGTCATGGCGAGCGGTAAAGACATGCCATCTTCATCTCTGTCTAAGGCGTTCAAAGCCCTATTGCCAAAAGATAAAGCCTTTTCGGGATCCTTACCTTCCTGGTCGAGTTTGAGTCCCATTTTCAGGCAAGCCATGCCGAGCTCTCTTTCATCGAAGCAGGGTTCCATGTCCTGGAGAGCTTTGAGCATGTCCTCTGTTGTCTCTGCCGACTCGAAGGCCTCCTCGAGTTCCGACTTTTGTCTGATCTTTCTCTGTCTAGAGGACATCTGGAGCGGGGTTTCATCCGCGAGAGTGTTAAAAAACTGGGATAGATGAACATTGGGGAAGAGAAAATGTGGGGTTTGGATGGAAGGTCTGAGATGGTGGCAGAATTGATACGCGGAGGCAGTGTGAATGGGGGAGGAGGTGGTGGAGATGAGAGATGAGAGCTTGGGGTGGCGGTGGAGCTGTGGGAACAGTGTGGAGAAAGCTCTTCTCATTGCGAAATTCGGGGATTGCGATAAACCCTTAGCCCAATTTCTTGACTTGACGTTGTTAAACCTTTAGGCGAGTCTGAGATTTCCACGGTGACCGTCGCCGTGCACGGAGGTATGTCATAACTCATGAGTGTGTCAAGAAGCTGACTTTTTTTGTGAAGGAAAAACTTTACACTTTTTTTTTTAATTTATCAGTCAATTTTTAACCAAATATTTGGTACGTAACTTTCGATTAGTCAAAATAAATAAAATCGAAGTTATTTTTCAGAGTTAATTGGTTAAAATTATTGCAGGGTCATTTTAGTCATTTTCAATTTATTTCTATATTTTATTATAAATATTTTTTAAATATAATTTTTTCATAATTCACCAGATTCAACCAAAACTTAATTAATTTAAACAGTTTCGATCAATACAATATCTTTCAGTGTTATCAAATAGACTTAAGAAAAATGCTTCGTGTACACGGCGGGTTACACGCCCGTGTACACGGTATAAAACCTTTTTTTTCAACCCATTTACCCCATCATTTACCCCATCCTCCGTATCCTTTTCTCTCCCCCCACATATCTACTCCCTCTCATTCTTATGCTCTTCCGCCCGTACCGCCTCTCTTCTTCCATTCTTGATTCGTTTCATTCTTCTGCAACTCCCTTTCAAATCCATATTTTGACATAAATTTTCATTCTCTAGTTCCTTCGCCCCCCTTTTCGTTTTTTACCAGTATTTTTCTTTCAAGATCTTGAGGTAATGATTTGTTCCAGTTTTTTTTTGCATTTAGGATTATATTTTTTCCATTTTTCAATTTTGTATACAATATATGTTGCTATGATGTTGATGAATGCTTATTACATTGTTATGTCAGTATGGATTTGTTATAGTTTTAATTTTTTATTCAATTATTATATTTAACTTTTATGTCTATAAGGTGTTTGTTGAAATGTTTCAATGAACTCTTTTAATAAAACCACGAATTTTATGTGTTCTTTCTCCTTTTTCTGACTATTTTGTATGTTACATGGATTTTAGATATTATTGAGGTAATAATCAATTCTATTTTTGGTGATTTATTTGTTTTCATGAGTTTTTTTTATTTCATTCTATATTCTATATTTTAGAGAAATCAGTTTGTATTGCATATGATTTCGTAGTTTTGATGGCTCCTAACTTTTTTGTTACCAGAATTTGTTGGCTTTGTATATATGGCTTTTGACTTAATTGACTTAGTTGCAAATATGTTGTAAAATGTATGCAAATGAATGGAATTGGGTCTGTTCTTGTGGAGGTTCTTTAGGTTTATTTAGCTTTAAATATAGCTTTATTATGTTTTTAGGCGGCACACATTCAAGCCTAAATGGATGTACATTCAGGTTTAATAGTTGTAATGGTCTTTATTTTCTTGACATGAATTATTTATGCTCTTTGCATGGCGGGGATAATGAACCTTCGAAACATGTGTTTGATAAACCGAATGATGGCAGAAAAAAGGATTGAGGAAGTCAAGAATGAGAGATTTAGAATACATTATAACTAAATAATTTATTCTTGTAACTAGCTATATTGTAAACTTAATGTTCTTGTGTTTGGGATGATAATGTAATTGAAGTTGCTAATGTCTACAATGTATGTTTTGTGTTATAAAAATGAACTTGGATGTTTTGTGTTGGACACAGACAATTGTCTATGTGTTTCCTTATTTTGTCTGTGTGTAATTGAAATATCATCTGTCATTGTTTATATTGTCTGTGCACGATTAAAACATTGTCTGTTTGTTTGTTTTGTCTGTACATAGATAATAATTGTTGTCTGTGTATTCATATATTTTGTCTGTGTGCGATTAGAACATTGTATGTTCACGTATTTGGTCTGTTAGATGAAGAGTTTAGATGAGACAAATTAGTCAAGAATTCAACATCACAATACATAATTTATTAAAACCGAAAAAAACACCCTATATAAACATAAGAATAAGGAGTAGATTACTGATCACAAACAATAGTCACTAGAATGGGCTAATGTTCTAAGTACAATTGTCTGTGAACCAAACTGAAGTGTTCGATTACAGACAATATCCACTGGAAGGAGCTAATGTTTTAAGTGAAAATGCTTATGAATTTGATATTACATATCTGGTCACAAACAATAGTTACTAGAATGGGTTAATGTTTTAAGTAGAATTGTCTGTCAACAAGACAAATGTGTTAGTCACATACAATAGCCATAGAAATGGGCTTATGTGGTAAGTGAAGTTGTCTGTCAACATGATATGAAGTATCTGGTTACAAATACACATATTTTTTGCATGATGTACATCCATAATGAGAGTAAGATTACTAATTCACCTTTCATATTTCAACATTGTTTAAAAATACAATTTACTTCACCAATATTGAAAGTCATTTTCTTTTTCACAAGACAAAAACACACATCTTTGAGAACATAAATCACTCCAAATACAATATCATTCTAAATGTAAAAACTTTAACTTTACTCCAAATACAATATCATTCCAAATGCAAAAACATTAACTTTACAATATAAGTAATTACAAGCATAAATCCTTTGTTATCCTTTGCTTTGAAGCTCTCATTCTTGGCTGCCATCATTTGTTTTATCTCATGCCTTGTCCAAATAAATGAACAAATAGAGTCATCATTTTCAAACAAAATTAAAAAAAATCTCGACGGTCAAAGTGTGCAAACTCCAATACTTGATTGTTCCTCAAGAGCAAGTGTCTTGGATCATCAACTGGATTTCTGGTTGCTACAAATTACATATTTCAAAATTAGATACATTAGTTACCTAAACTAAATTCAAACACAAAAGAAATGTCTGTACAATTTAAAAAGACCAAATTCATAATACTCAAGTCTATAGTCAATAAAAATCACTATATCATAATTTGAATTGGGAAAATAGAAAAATAGGATCTAAAACCCATTAACCAAAAAGGAGAGAAAAAGTCTTGAATATGAACAAACATTTCATTGAGACATTTCAACAAACATGTTATGGACATCAAATAAAATAGAGTAGTGGGAATAAAAAACTAATAACTAGCATCACAATCTCTTACAATCTTCACTAAAATGCAATCATTCAATGTTACAGCATACATAATATACATAAATTCTGGAAAAAATAAATTAAAAGCCCCTAAAATGCATAAGAAAAAATAAGAATAGATTACCCCAATTACGCCCATATGTCTCTGATAGCTTCTGCTAGCAAAGACTACCCTGATTTGCTCCACTTGTACATGAATTACCTCCTTCCACCTCTGCCCCTCTGATTCTTCAATTTCTGAGTCTTCGATTCTCCCCGGGTGCCACCCTCTTCCTCTTAAGCGACGCTTTTCCCGGACCCATCGTAGAGAGAATAATTCATCGTTTTGTTGTTTATGATAGCTAAATTAAAAGAGAGAAGGGGATATTGTGCAGAAACTAGAAAGAAGAGAGGTTGTGTGTAAAAATATGGATTTTGATAAGTAGATTTGCATAAAAACGAAAAGAAAAGGGGGGAGAGCTTACTGCGCAGAAAGGGGTGGCGGGGTGATAGTTGGGTGTAAAAGTAGGGATTTGGAGGAGGAGAGTTTCAGGAGAATGAAAGAAAAGAAAAGGCAGAAGAAGAATAGGCAGAGAAGCTTACTGCGTGCAGGGAGTAGCTCGGTGATGGGAGAAAAAGGATAAAGTGAGGAGTAAATGGGTTGGGAAAAAAGCTTTTATACAGTGTATATGGGTGTGTAACCCGCCGTGTACACGAAGCATTTTTCGACTTTTAATA